ACGGGCATCCAAATCTAAGAAGTATGTTTAGCAAGATACTGATATCAACAAGGGAATGAGGCCCAGGGCATTGTTGGGGTGACAAAAAGCTTCCCTTCCTTTTTTCTAGAAAAGAGGAAAGGAGTCAGGCTGGGCTCAGGGTTCTGGGGAGGAAAGGAGGGAGGCAGGTAGGGATTTGTTCGTGGAACAGAAAAGCACAAGCAAGCTGAGTGGGCATCCACCTCAACGCACGGCACTGACCATCCTGCAGACACAGGTGCTGAAGGAGCCTCAGAACACAGCTGGCATCATAGGTAGCACTCATGGGCCCACGCAGCCTCCCCAAGCCTGCTGCCCCATGTCCCTTCATGCCCTGCCCACTTTCCTAACCTTCTGCCCCAGGAGTTTCCACTAAGAGAAGGAACAGCTGAGCTCACGGTACCTGGAGTTCTGTTGCACACACAGCTGTGCAGGCCCTGCATCGCCCTCGGGCCAGGACAACACTGGGGTTATATTCACCCAGCTCTGCCACCTCCAGTTGCCCCATCCTGAGAAATGGCTTCAAGAAGCAGCCCTGTCCTTTGGCCTGGATTTCTCTACGTGGGCTCAACTCACCCTTTTCCGTGTGTCCTGCTCTTGTTTCTGCAGAGGCTATGCTGAGATGTCACTTTCTTTTTTTCAGGGACCTTAGTCTTGGCCTCTCCTTTTGAACTGCTCAAGGTCCCCTGATACGTGTTCTTCATTGAGGTTTTTTTTTTTTGCAGAGGTTTGCTTCCCTGGAGATTAATAAATGCCCACAGCACACTTTGCTGAGGAAGCTGGGTGACACTCAGAGAGCTCTCTGTATCTCTCTACCCTCCATGCTCTCTAGCAACCACATTCCCCACCGCAGTCTGTGCTCTGAAAGTTACAGGAGAGGACTTGCTGGGAAAAACCATTTTTCCAACTGGACTCCAAGTTGGAAACTGTCAAGTGGAAACATAAATACAATGAAAGGCTTAGGAAGAAAACTCAACAACAAATCTCAAGAAGCAGAGAATAGAATGTTGGGTGTCAGGGGCTGTGGAGGGGGAAAAGGGGGAGCTTTTCAGTGGGTGTAAAGATTCAGTTATGCAAGATGATATGGTTTGGCTGTGTCCCCACGCAAATCTCATTTTGAATTGTACTCCCGTAATTCCCATGTGTTGTGGGAGGGACCTGGTGGAGATAACTGAATCACAGCGGCAGTTTCTCCCATACTGTTGTCATGGTACCGAATAAGTCTCACGAGATCTGATGGTTTGATAAGGGGAAACTCCTTTCGCTTGGCTCTCATTCTCTCTCTTGCCGCCACCACATAAGAAGTGCCTTTCGCCTTCCACCATGATCTTGAGGCCTCCCTAGCCATGTGGAACTGTGAGTTTATTAAACCTCTTTCTCTTGTAAATTACCCAGTCTCGGGAATGTCTTTTTCAGTAACGTGAAAATGAACCAATATACAAGATGAATGAGTTCTAGAGATCTGCTGCACAACATCATGCCGATAGTTCACACAGTATAGTACACTTAAGAATGTGTTAAGAGGGCAGACCTCATGTTAAACATTTTTACCACAACAAATAAACATATAAAATTAAGAACACAAGGAAACCTTTGGAGAGCATATGCTCATTAACCTTGATTGTCGGGATAGTATCATGGGTATATGCCTACGTCCAAATTCACCAAATCATATACATCAAACGTGCAGTTTTGGTTTTGGTTTTGTTTTGACACAGGGTCCTGTTCTGTTGCCCAGGCTGGATGGAGTACAGTGGTGCAATCATAGCTCACTGCAGCTTCAAACTCCTGGGCTCAAGCAATCCTCCTATGTCAGCTTCTCATGTAGCTGGGACCACAGGCATGTGCATGTGCCACCATACCAGTCTAATGTTTTTGTTGTTGTTGTTGAGACAGAGTCTCACTTTGTTGCCCAGGCTGGTCTTAAACTCCTGGGCTCAAGCAATCCTCCTGCCTCAGTCTCCAAAGTGCTGGGATTACAGGTGTGAGCCCCTGGGGCCTACCTAGTTTTTCAAATGTATCAATTATACTGCAATAAAGCTGTTTTCCAAAAACAAAAGAAAACTCAACCACAGCTGGTGATGGGCTGTGAAGTGGGAGGGAGGATTCCTCCATGGCTCCCCGACTTTGAACTTGGATGCCCAGGTAAACAGCAAACCAGGGAAGACACAACAGACGCAGGTATTGGTGGATTTCCACCCACAACTGCCCCACACAGGCAACCACTATATGAAATGTTTTCACCTCTTTGTTCATGATATATATATGCAGTGATGTGATGGTAAATGTTTAGCAACCACATCTCCAAGAAATTGAATGTACGCATGTGGGTATGTGTGCCTATTCCTTTATAAGTTTACTACAAATTTTTAAAATTTTTTTCCAGCTTAATTAAGGTATAATTGAAAAATCAAAAGTATACATATTTATAATGTATAATGTGACGTTTTGATCTACGTACACACTGTAAAAGATTAAATCAAGCTAACATATCCATCACCTCACCTCACATACTTAGCTTATGTTTGTGGTAAGAACACTTAAGACCTACTCTCTTAGCAATTTTCAAGTATACAATACTATTACGATCTGAATGTGTGTGTCCCTCCAAAATGCACACGTTGAAGCCTAATCCCCAATGCAATCGTCTTAAGGGACCTTTAAGAGGTGAGGAGGCCGTTGGGGTTGAGCCCTCACAGAGGACTCAGGACTGAGGAAACTTGTTCTTCTGCCATGTGAGGACCCAGCTAGAAGGCACCGTCTGTGAAGCAGAGAGCAAGCCCTCGTCAGACACCGAATCTTCCAGCACCTTGATCTTGGACTTCCTCAGCCTCCAGAACTGTGAGCAATAAATTTCTGTTGTTTATAAGCCACTCAGTTTATGATATTTTGTTATAGCAACCCGAACAGACTAAGACAAATACATTAACTATAGTCATCATGCTGTGTCTTATAAATTTTTTGACATAAAGGATGTATAGCACCCAATTTACAAATAATAAGATTGACTTTTATGTAAATCGGTAAAGTCAATTGATTCTTACAGAATGGTTTTGTTGATATTTGCCAAACCATTGTAATTGCAGCCGACATATGGTTGCAACTGATGAACAAGTGTAGTTCCAATATGAATGCTGGTTAATATTTTTGTTTACATTAACAAGTAAGAAGAAAGCAAAATAAATGACAAAGACATATGGTGGAAAACATTTTCATCACTCATAAGGGCGACTCTTTGTTGAATTAGGTAGTAGTTGTCAAATACTAGAAGACTGTTTCCTTAATTTTTGTGCCATTTACAATGCAGCAGCTGAAGACATGGCAAACTTTTAAGTCAAATCTGCATGACTAACATTCCCCCTACCCTGCCACTCCCTTGTGTCTAGATAATCAACAAAACAAGCAAGCTCTGATTGGCAGCATTTGTCAATTTTTTGGTGTAAATACTCCCATTGTGGCCTATTCCAGGCTACCAAGGTGATATTACTGAAAACAGAGCTGCAAAGAGATGTACAGTAGCAAACCAGAGTAGTGTATTTTCATCATGCAGCTGCAATAGCTGCCAGGCGCGGTGGCTCAGGCCTGGAATCCCAGCACTTTGGGAGGCTGAGACAAGCAGGTCACTTGAGGTCAGGAGTTCAAGACCAGTCTGGCCCACAGGGTGAAACCCCCATCTCTACTAAAAATACAAAAATTAGCAAGGCTTAGTGTCACATGCCTATAATCCCAGCTACTTGGGAGGCTGAGGCAGGAGAATAGCTTGAACCTGGGAGGTAGAAGTTGCAGTGAGCCGAAATGGTGCCATTGCACTCCAGCCTGGGCAACAAGAGTGAAACTCCATCTCAAAAAAATAAAAAATAAACAGATGCAATAGCTATAAATAACCAAAGCACAGCTAATAGTAAAAGGCAGTAAAATGATTAAGAAATGATGAGTTTAGAATATTATTAAATTCAATATAATTTATTTAACTATAAGTGTAATTAATTTTTAATAATGGCTGTGTTTAACAACTGGCTTGCAAAATTCCTGAAAAGTTAACTGTTGGCTCTTGCATGCCAGTTCAACCCAGCCCCAACACACCATGACAAAAACGCCCCAAAAAAAAATGTTATTTTGTTTTTGTACTTTAAGAAATGGTAATATGCTGCAGGCACTGGGAGTTGCTTTTTCACACCACATCATGTCACTCTTGTCTTTTGACCCTCAACATGATCCTTGCCTCTTCTTTGCTCTCAGCTGATGAATCACAGGATGGGGCAGCCTGGGAACAGCCCTTATGGTCTCTGCTCTGAGATCACCAGCGAGAAGTGCATGGTGGGACAAACATGGATTTCACTCTTCCTGGAGCAGTGACAGCAGCAGATAACCGGGCTTCCGCAGTAGCAACAGAGGCTTCCTGATCCCTCCTGACTTCTGAGGAGCACCACCTCCCTAAGATTTTGCTCCCTGACCATCCCTTGCAACCATTTTTTTTCTTTTTTCTTTTTTTTTTTTTTTTTTGAGATGGAATCTCACTCTGTCACCCAGGCTGGAGTGCAGTGGCGTGATCTCTGCTCACTGCCATCTTCGCCTCCCGGGTTCAAACAATTCTCCCGCCTCAGGCACCCGCCACCACGCTTGGCTAATTTTTGTATTTTTAGTACAGACGGGGTTTCACCACATTGGCCAGGATGGCCTTGCAACCATTTTCCAGGCACCTGATTTCCTGAATTAAACCTTTCCTGCTGGAAATAAATAAAATGGTTTCTGGTTCTCAGATTAAAAGGCTAGAATGTATTCATGCTAATGCCTGTTACCTACTCTCATCATTTTCACTGTGGTATAATGTCCCATTTTGTGACCATCTCCCACAGGATTCTCCCTAACTTGGCTCCATTTTACAACCTGCCTGCCCAGCCTCTGATGCTTTTCATAGCCAGTGTTCTCAGTGTTCACAGAGACCGTGCTGCGGCGTTTACCCAAATGGTTCTCATGCTTACCCATTAGCGTCCTCAATCCTTGATCTCATTCCCCCTCCTTTTCCCATAGATGTCCCAGTGGATCCTGCTTTCCAGTCTGTCACCGTTGGTGTACAGGCTACCATAAGTTGAAGGAGGGTCTATTGCTGGAGAAGACTAGTTCATAGGAGTCAGTTCAGGTTCGCAGCTGCCAACATGAAAAAAATCATCTCAGAAAAATGTAGCTCAGCTGCTTACAGTAAGTCCTTGTTATACCTGCGTTTATCTTCGTGGGACACAGATGCAACTGCTTCTCTGTGCTAACAAGCTGATTAAGCTCAGCCAGGACTCTTCCGGAGGGTCCTCCCTCTCCCCACATAATCTATGTTGAGATGCTCAGCACAGAAGTTAACGCATTACTGGGACAAAAAATAAGTCTCTCTTTAGAGGGTTCCCAGCATCACCAGAACTCCCAATTCTCCTCCACCTCTTTGCATCCCTTTGTATCATTCATTCCTCATTCCATGTTTGGTGTCACTGAGCCTTTCAAAGAGGGCAGATAAAGCTCTCTGTATTTCACAGAGATCTAGAATTGCAATTACATCCATGACACATATTTTCATGCCCCTCCATTCTAGGGCACTCATAGACCACAGTAAGAGATGCTCCTGCTCCTTCTGAGGAAGCCCAACAGGCGAGATGCAACCCTGACTGTCCCACCAAGAGTAGACCATCCGCCCTCTCTGACCGCATGCTTCACTCTGTCAACATGAAATGGCAGGTTGTTCCTGAACATCCCATGATGGTCTGTGCTTCTGTGCCTTTTGCCTATCCTATTTCTGCTTCTGGGCACACCTTTTCTCTCCTTGCCTTTGGGTTGAAGCCCTACTCACCCTTTAACACCCAGTTCATTCTGAGTTGGACTTCTGAAAGGATCAGAAAGTATCCTCTGTGCAGACACTACACATCACTTCACCCTCTTTTTCCCCAAGGCAAACAACACTAACCTAGTCCAGGTCACGTTCCTGTTAGGTCCAGATATGGCTCAAAAACTCTAGCAGAACAGCGCTCCAGGCAGCACTTCCCAATCACATGAGCAAGCAAGATACATGCCTCTCCGTGTCCCTGTCTAGGTTTCTTCCTCTTCTGGAGACAGGCTGGGGGCTGGCAGCTGGGGCTGTGTATTGCTAAGTGCAATTCCAGGAATCTGCAGAATGGAAGCCACATCCTTTTTTTTTTTTTCAGACAGAGTTTTGCTCCATCACCCAGGCTGGAATGCAGTGCCGTGACCTCGGCTCATTGCACCCTTGGCCTTCCAGGTTCAAGCAATTATTGTGCCTCAGCCTCCCAAGCAGCTGAGATTACAGGCATGCACCACCACGCCCAGCTAATTTTTGTATTTTAGTAGAGACAGAGTTTCACCATGTTGGCCCAGGCTGGTCTCAAACTCCTGACCTCAAGCGATCCTCCCACCCCGGTCTCCCAAAGTGCTGGGATTACAGGTGTGCGCCACCGCAACCGGCCAGGAACCAAATCCTTGATGCCTCCAGGACCAGAGGCCAAGCGGGCCTCCTCCTTCCAGTGCTTTCTGATCTGTGCTAAAATCAGGTGCTCCCTCTGTTCCCCAATCCTGAGCCACTTGGATGCACATGTGATTTTGGTACAGCTTCCTTTAATTTCACGTTTAATTATTTTTCTTACTACAAATCTTCGTCAGAGCTGTACTTCTATGCTTTTTACCTTCATTGGCAAAGCTTCTAGAAACAAAGTATGTTATTGAAATTTTAAAAATAAAAAAAATTACATAAAACCCAGTTCAGGTATCTCCACTTCTATGAAGCCTTCTCAACCACCACCAATCTGAAATACCCTATTCTATGTCCTCTGCACCTTGTTTAGGATTCTTTATGCCCTTGAGGGATGAGGGAAAGTCTTCCCCCTTAATTTCCGTCACTTTAGGAGCAAACGTAGTAACAGACAAGGAGCAGACTTACTGTTTACTATAAGAGCTGTAGATTTCCCAAGTTCAGTGTTCATCAGCTAAAATGTAAACTCACTACATGCTTAGCATTCACCTTGGCACAACCAGGTTACCCCTGTGGGACTTGAGGGGCAAAGGGAATCAATGCCAAGATGACGCTCATGGGGCCAACATGACTGGCCCCAGAGTCAAGCATAGGTCCTGATTAGTATATATGTAGAAAGTAATGAAGTTCAATGGACTAGACTGAAGACAGGGAACTTTCCTTCTACTGAATACCGCTTAGCCCAGTGTTTCTTTTTATTTTTTTTTCTTTTGGCCCAGTATTTCTTAACCTCAGCACTATTGACATTTGGAACCAGATAATTCTCTGTTGTATGGGGGTTGTTCTGTGCATGATAGGATATTTAGCAGCATCCCTGGCCTCTACACAGTAGATGTCAGTAACACCCACCCCCAATCAAAAATGTCTCCAGACATTGCCAAATGTTCCCTGGGAGAGCAGTATCATCCCCTACCCTCACCACTGAAAACCACTTATTTTACCTATCCAGAAGTGGGGGTGGGGTGGGGAGGAGGAAGCAAGGGGTTATAACTAAATTATCATTTAGTGGAGTTTGAGATGCTAATGTACCGGAGAAGTATAAAAATATTGCACTCACCTGCCTCTTCACTCAAGGATCACACATGATAAGTCACGACATATTGCAGCCAACAGCAAACACAATCTTCATGAGCACCCATGGGTGTCAGGCAGGAGCGTCCACTACATCGTCTCATCCACACCCACAGCCATTCTGCGAAGTGGGCATTTCCACTCTACAAGAACCTGAGGCACAGGGAAGTCACGTACCTTGCCGAAGGGAAGAGTTTGGACTTGAACACAGAGCTGTTGATCTCTGTCGCATGTGTTCTTAATCATTAACCTATTGTTAATGATCCCACAAAGAAAGTGGGGGACGACATGGAAGAGAGGGGATTGGAAGTTATGAAATGGGAAACCAAAGTTTACTTTGAGGGGGAAAAAATATCAAACTTACATATCAATAGCATCCTCTTAAAGGTTGAAAATATGTAACCCTTTAGATATTTTAAGAGCACATAGAGTACCAGAATCTGTACCAACATGTACTTTAATTCTTATGTAAAATGTTAAAATACAGGCCCAAGTGAATGGCTCTCTTTCCTGCGCCCAGAAAAATGCAAACCATCCAGTCTAGGAAGCAGCAAAGTGACCAAACCTGTTTGAACAAACCCAATGCTACACTCCACTTCAATGGAGTACCTTTCCCATCTGGTGGTGGATTAAAGAATTGTCCCTAAAACACTTTTAAATCCAGTTGTGACTTTGCAAAGTAGCATCAGTGCCGGCCTGAGTCCCAGCAGTTAGACACGTACTGATCCCCCAAATTGATTACTAATTGACACCAGATTCTGGTAATTGCAAGGGCAGGTCAATTACTGACTGCCTATAGAATTACTAGTACAAAGATGAGATAGCCCTAAGGAAAAACACTATTTTGACTTTATTTAAACTTTTCCCTGAGAAGCTAACATTCCCCTATATCATTAATTCTCAGAAATATTTTTAATGCACTATAATATTTTATCCTGGAGGCAGAGTAAAATAGCAAGAAATAAGAAAGGGGAAGAGAGGGAATGGGAGAGAGGGGCAGTCGCAGTTATTGCCATAATGGGTGGAGACCCAAAAATAAGAATACATAATTAGATTGAAAATATATGAGGCCGGGCATAGTGGCTCATGCCTGTAATCCCAGCACGTTAGGAGGCTGAGATGGGTCGATCACTTGAGGCCAGGAGTTTGAGACCAGCCTGACCAACATGGTGAAATCCCATCTCCACTAAAAACACAAAATTAGCCGAGTGTGGTGGCAGGCACCTGAAATACCAGCTACTCAGGAGGCTGAGACAGGAGAATTGCATGAACCCAGGAGCCAGAGGTTGCAGTGAGCTGAGATCGCACCACTGCACTCCAGCCTGGGCAACAGAGTGAAACTCTGTCTCCAAAAAAAAAATATATACACACACACACACACACATATACACGTGTATACATATATACACATAGTGTATATACACATATACATAATAATATGATATAATATATATGTATATGTGTTTATGTATATGTGTATATACACGATGTGTATATATGTATATACGTGTGTGTGTGTGTGTACATAGTGTATATATACACTATGTGTATATATGTATACATGGGCAATCTACAAGTAAACATACCTCAGGTTCCATAGAAAGCACTAAATATCATCTCATCTAATTTTTCCAACTCTATGTAGTGGGTCCTATTATTTTTCATTTCGCATGTGAAAAAAAGAAAAGGCTCAGAGAGGTTAACTGGTTTGCCCAAGGACTCAGATGAGCGAGTGGCAGAGCCAGGATTCAAAATCAGATATGTCTTCTCCAAAGTCCACCATCATCCAGTTGCAAGTTTTCAACAGCAAATGCAGCCAGCGTCCACTGATGACAGCTTGTGTGCCAGGTCCTGGGGAATAGAGAGGTGACTGGGGCCTGCCTCCAAGAGTTAGTGCAGCATCTGGCTGCCTAGGGGACACCAGGCTTCCAGTGTCTAAGAGAACACCCACCTGCTCACCAGCATTCACTGAAAATAATAAATACTCCCAATCTCAGCTCCAACATTCTGAAAAAAATACCAAAAATTATTATTTACAAATTATAGCAAAAGTTGGCCAGGTACGGTGGCTCACGCCTGTAATCCCAGCACTTTGGGAGGCTTAGGCGGGTGGATCACCTGAGGTCAGGAGTTCGAGACCAGCTGGTCAACATGGTAAAACCCTGTCTCTACTAAAAATACAAAAATTAGCTGGGTATGCTGACACATACCTGTAATTCCAGCTATTCAGGAGGCTGAGGCAGGACGATCACCTGAGCCCAGGAGGCAGAGGTTGCAATGAGCCGAGATCAAGCCACTGAACTCCAGCCTGGGTGACAGAGCAAGACTCTGTCTCATAACAAGAAAATTATTGTAAAAGTGAAATTCAACAAAAGGATTAACATCAAGAGATTAACATCAAGATTAACATGAACTGATGCTGCGATTTCCCTACCAGGGGAGGAAAAGCTAGGTTTGAGGCTCCTTGGATTTTTGTGGGCTTTCTTTCCCCATTTTATTTAGAATAAGGCATTGGAAATGGAGCTCTTGCTTCTATACTAAATGCATTTTGACAGGCTCAGTGATACCAAACATCAATGAGGAATGAAACATTACAAAGACGTTCCCCTTTAAACAAATGTGAGGTCAGCGCTTTTAAATATTATGTGCTTCTTGGACACGTATCCTAATTCAAGACAGCATCTCACACAAACTGGAGCTGGCAAGCAGTCAAATAACCTGGCTGGGCACATCACTGATAAGTCCAATGACTCCCAGCACCTTCTGACAAACCTTTGTTTCCTGCTTCTTGTCTGAAGTACACTGTTTGTTTGGCAAAAGCCAGGAGACGTGAGAACCTCCCACAGCAAATGTTGATATAAAGAAAATGTCCTAAGTGACCAGTGATATTTATCCAGGTATTATTTCCACCACCTGTGCAGAGTTTACCAAGTAGGTGGGTAGGGTCGCTATCTTGGGTGCGTTCAGCTTGAGTTGCCCGGATACCACATCTTGAGTTCAACAGGGAACATAAATCTAATTGTTCCTCTCTTCACTTAAACCCTAAGGATTCCAAATTAGATCACATTGCTGAACCACATGAGTGAACCTTGTGCATCTGAACTCTCAGTGTGGTTTGCAAAGCTACACTCTGGAACTAAAGGCAGGAAGCTTTGCTATCGACAAGATGTTAGCGTCTCATCAAACACAGCAAACGTTCAAGAATCTTGCCCCTTGGCAGGAGCGTGTTTTAATTGCTGGCGATATTGCAGAACAGATTTCTGAAGTCTAATTTTCTTTCTGCAGCCAAATTTTTGACGTATATTAATAACATCCTTGTAAACTTCCATCTGTGGGCACAGTCATCGCTGCCATTAATTCAAAAACATAGCTGGCTTCCACAGCTCTAAAAAAGAAAAAGAAAATTTGGAAAAATTATTCCCAAAAAGGACACGATTATAAAGTTTATAGTAGGAGCAAACTTCAAGGTGACAAATCCTATAGAACGTTTAGAAAATTTTAATATGGCTGGGCACAGTGGCTCACGCCTGTAATCCCAGCACTTTGGGAGGCCGAGGCAGGTGGATCACGAGGTCAGGAGATCAAGACCATCCTGGCTAACATGATGAAACTGTCTCTACGAAACATACAAAAAATTAGCCGGGCGTGGTGGCAGGCGCCCGTGGTCCCAGCTGCTCGGGAGACTGAGGCAGGAGAATGGTGTGAACCCAGGAGGCAGAGCTTGCAGTGAGCCGAGACCACGCCACTGCACTCCAGCCTGGGCGACAGAGCAAGACTCCATCTCAAAAAAAAAAAAAGAAAGAAAATTTTAATATGATTAAACTTCATGGAAATGTTTAAGGTCTCTTTTCATGAAATGATTTTTTTTCTTTTGACTATATTTCCATTTTATAGCACTATCACAACAGCAATTAATGAATTAGCTGCATAATGATCTATTTTATGTCAGTCTCCCTGCTTGTTCTGTAACCCCCCAAAGGGAGGAACCGGGACTTGACCTGTTTGCCTTCCCAATGCTCGGTATACTGACAAATAGCAGGGGCCCAAAAAAATTTTTTGTTGCTGCTATCCCCACAATAGGATTATGATTGCATTGTCAGAAGTGCCAATTAGCTATCTCAAAAGCACTCAGCTTCATTTAATGACTTCCTCTATACTACAGTTAGGCAAGATGTGACGGAAGTGAAGGAAACATGGAATCTCCTTGTATATTTTTTGCAACAACCTGTGAATCTACGATTATTTCAAAACAAAGAGCTTTTCTTCAAAAAAAAAAAAAAAAAAATATTTTGCTCCCTGCCACCAGCTTCTTAGATTTCACCTATATCTTAGGAACTTCCATCTCAATCCTCTCATACTCACAATATACTTGGCTTCCTGATTTCAACAATGTTTTCCAGAAGGTTGACTTTCAACAACCCAATCTGAACTAGAAGCTCAGCGTTCCTTCCCACCCGCCCTTGACAAAGCAGATTACTTTATACAACAACAGCCACTTTGCTGAGACGGCCGGCCAAAACACCAAGTGTGGTGCCAATTTTTTACAATTGATTCCTTTCTGTCTCCTCCACACAGAGACCAGAGAAAAGCTGTCACATGGTAGTAATTTTCAAGAATTTGCTGGCACATCAAGGGTCAAAAAGAAATGTTGATGAGCTGGTCATTTGCTCAAGATTTCTGCTTGGCAAGAAAATACAGAGCATGTGCACCCAGGTTCCCAGGTGACAAACCACACACCCAAGTATTATTGAGCCTCATCCATGGCAGTCTCATGTTACACAAAGAATCAGGCCACCACCGAGCTGCCAAGAGCCTTGGAAAACTATGCAAAGTGCATTAAAATCAACAGAAAAGCTTCTCATGTCACAATATTTAGATAACTGCTCACTTCTCCAAGCTTCCCCCAAAAACCACCCCTCCCTGGCCAAAGTTTGACACTACTGCCTTGAATCACACAGTCAGATGTGGACTTTTCAACAAAACACAGAACAGATATTAACTTTCCCGCGAACCTGGGAATACGGTTAGCAGTTCTGGGCATGAAGAGAGGTTCACTATCCAGGGGCAGAGCTGAGCCAGAGTTGCAGGGAGCCAGCAGAAGGTGGTTCCCAGCTGCCCTCGCCACTCCTGAGCTGAGCCCACTCTCTGGGCCTCTTTGTCTTCCCAAATGATGCCCTTCCCTGGAAAAAAAGCAAAACAAGACCAAAGGCCAGGCGCAGTGGCTCACGCCTGTAATCCCAGCACTTTGGGAGGCCAAGGTGGGTGGATCACCTGAGGTCAGGAGTTTGAGACCAGCCTGGCCAACATGGTGAAACCTCATCTCTACTAAAAATACAAAAAATTAGGTGGGTGTGGTGGTGCGTGCCTGTAATCCCAGCTACTTGGGAGGCTGAGGCAGGAGAATCACTTGAACCTGGGAGGCAGAGGTTACAGTGAGCCGAGATCGTGCCACTGCACTCCAGCCTGGGCAACAAGGGTGAAACTTCATCTCAAAATAAATAAATAAACAAACAAACAAACAAACAAGGCCAAAAAATCCGCCTCTAAATTCACATCAGTCTCTGCGGGTCAGAAGACAAAGTCCGTCTCACTCTCCAACACATTCACAGGCTTAAAGCGTGACCTTCCACTGACTCGTGTGAAGGCAACGGCAAATAACAGACATTCAAGGAGAAACAGCTTTGACGAAACTCTCCCGACAGTGAGGCTAGGAGAGGGAAAAATAAATGAAAATCAATTTGCATGATCACCAAGACAGAAATGGGGGCAGAGGGAAAGAGGGCCGAAAGGAGAAACGATCTTCGTTATTAATGTTTTTAATATGGCAGCATGATTAAGACATAGTCTCCCTGCCAGGCAGCAAGTCCAGAGGGAGACAAACTGCCCACCTTCTCATGGGTTTTTAGCACAAGAGTAATGCCCATTGGCATAGCAGTTTCAAATCGATACGGCACTTTCACCTATAGAAACTCACTTAAGGGTGGGTGCAGTGGCTCACACCTGTAATCCCAGCACTTTAGGAGACCGAGGTGGGCAGATCACCTGAGGTCGGGAGTTCGAGACCAGCCTGACCAACATGGAGAAACC